CTGCTGGCAGGGAATGGCCGTCAAGGTGCTTCAGGCGCTGCTCAGACGGTAGCTGGACCAACTGCAGCTGCAGCAGCAGCAGACTTCATAACCGCAGCAGCAGCATCAGCAGGTGGAGCGGCAGCTGGAGGGCATGGTGCGGCGGAGCCAACAGCAGATGCTGGGGGACAACGCTGTCGAGGGAGGAGAGAAGCTACAACGGCAGCAACAGCAGCAGCAGCAAGTATGAGGGCCAAAACAACGTACGTAAAAGGAAGCAAAGGGTCATCTATCGGACAAAGAACAAAAACAAAAGTCTCAAGAAGTAGGCGAAAAGGCTCGCTCTCTCCGCCTAAGGAGCTTGTTCTGCGAAAAGAGTATTCACTTCGTGCTGCTGAACTGCCTAAAATCAAAGGCGTCTTCATTGGGAAGAAAAGTACCTGCTGGGTGGCCCAGTGGATTGATAACGCGGGTACGCGGGAGACGCGCCAAACGAAACGCTCATATACACGCATAGCGGATGTATACATGGACGGGAACGATACACGTGTATGTATGTATGTATTTATGTATGTACGTATGTATGTATGTATGTATGCATGTATGTATGTATGCATGTATGTATGTAATGTATGTAATGTGTGTAAGGTATGTAATGTATGTAATGTAGGTAACGTATGTAATGTATGTAAGGTATGTAATCTATGTATGTTTGTAGGTATGTATGTATGTACATATGTATGCATGTATGTATACATGTATGCATGTATGTATGGATGTATATATGGATGTATATATGGATGTATATATGTATGTATATATGCATGTATATGTGTATGTATATATGTATGTATGCGTGTATATATGTGTGAATGTACTAATGTTTGTATGTATGTATGTATGGATGTATAATAATGTACACATGTATGTATGTATATATATATGTATGTATGCGTATGCGCATCTATACATATACCATTATGTCTGTTGGCCTATTGACTGGCCGTTGTATGCAGGGCAGCCCCGGCAGAGTTGCTTTAATATCAGACAACATGGCTTCGACCGCGCACGCAGTTTAGCCATCGAAGCACGGCGCCACTATATGGGTCTCTCCGCTGCTGCTGCTGCTGCTGCTCGGTCGAACACAAGAGCCCCAGCGCGAGCTGCCCCTAGCAGCAGCAGCAGCAGCAAGCGGAGGCGAATAACTAACGCAGCAGCAGGGGAGGCGGAGTCTCCTGCCGCAGCACGGCTTCTTTCCTCCGCCTTCAGTGCCGAGCAGCAGCAGCAGCACCGGCAGACGCGGCATCTGCTGTTGCAGCAGGCCCCTGCGGCTCCTGAATGGGCCGTGCAAGAAGGTGATGGGGCAACCACAGGAGCGGCAGCAGCAGGGGCAGCAGAGGCAACAGCAGCAGCAGCAGCACGTGCTGCTGGGGGTGTGACCTCCAGAGGAATAGTAGAGGATAGAGCCGGTGAGTCCGATCTCGTAGGTCTGCTGGTCGTTCCGCGTCTGCAGCAACGTGAGTGTCTTTCGTTCAGCGGCATGAGTAAGTGATGACTGCTGCTTCTCCGGAAGAAACGCACACAAACGTTCGCTAACGTATACGTTGATGCGCTTACCATTACTTGCGGCGATGCAGTTCCCGAGGTCCGGTTTGTATACCAGCTGGGGAGAGACTTCGAAACCGCATACACCTCTCTTTCCTTGTGCCTCTCTCTGTGTGTGCCTGACTCCCGATATCTGTCTCTGTCTGTCTGTGCATCGATCAATCCACATATGTGTATACATATGTAGATATCTATATATGTATTTTTTTTTGCTCTTCACGCCGCGCCCGCAGAATAAGGATGTGCCCAGCAGCAGCAAGAGAGCCTATGTAGGCAGAAATATATCTCTCTCTGCGTCTGTTCCCCTGTGTCTCGCTCTGGGTATCTATCTATATATTTATCTGTCTATGTATCTATCTACATCTATCTGCACGTATATATATATATATATGTATAATATTGCTCGCCCCCCACGCAGTTGCAGCAGTGTGGTGTGCCTAGCAACAGGGAGGGAGCCTAAGCACACGCAGACGTGTCACTCCCTTCCTCTCTGTTTCTCCGTCTGTCTGGTCCTCTGTGGCTCTCTCTCTTTGTCTCTCGCCGTCTCTCTCTCCCTCTCTCTCTTCCTCTCTCTCTCTATCTCTATCTCTCTCTCTATCTCTCTCTCTCTATATATATGTATATACACATATATATATATATATATGTATAAATGTATGTATATATATATGTATATATACATGCTATTGCCGGCCCCGGTGCGACTGCAGACGTCTGGCGTGCGTAGCACCAGCGGGCAAGCCTACGCGGGGACGAACGTATCTCTGTGTCTCGCTAACAGTCCGTGTGGAGTCGGGCATCTCTCTAGGTGCATACACATATATATTCGTACCTATATAGAGAGCTTCCGAAGTGGGGGACACATCTGCATACTTAAGCACAGTTGGTGTGTCGTACCCCATGGGGGATTATCACTGATGCACACGTACTTCTTACTTCCGCTGCTGTAAATATGCTCACCTCCGCTGCTACATATATATATATATACATATATATATATATATACATATATATATATATATATATATGTATATATGTATGCCCTGGAGGCATTTATATGATTGTGTACTCCAAGTATCGCGGCTTCAGGGGTCGATTATTACCCTTCTCTGCGAGTAGAGATGCATACGAGTGCGGGCAAATATGCCTTCCTCCCCGTGGCCTTCTTCTTATCTCCCGTTATCTCTGTGTTCACGTAAACCACCTACCTTTTGGCCCGTGTCGTATGTGCACGTCCTCCTTCCATTGCTCGTATCTCTGCTTGATTACATGCTGCTGCCGGGGCTCTCACCAGCTGACGGAGAACAGTACATACATATATAGATCCTATATGCGTATACCCCTATGCGTATATATATATATATATATACATGTATAGACATACATACGTATATGTATATATGCGTGTATATGCATACATACATATGTTGTCCCTTTCTCATGCTCTCGTGCAGCATCGAAGACGGTTATGTTTAATTGGCGCTTTCCCTGATATTTTTTGTCTTTTGTATATATGCTGGTGAGGAGATTGCCTCCATTCCGCCGTCGTTCTATCTTCCCTTGGTTGCGGCTGCTGCTGTACCCGCACGACTGCGCGGTCGTACATCGCTCAGATCCTGGCCCTGACAAGCGAGAAACCTTTTCCTGTCTCTGTTTCTATCTCTCACTCTCTCTCTCACTCCCAATATATATATATATATATATATATATTTATCTAAGATGTTCACCGATACGTAAGTATACATGTTTGGCTATGTACATATATATATATATATATATATATATATATATATTTGTTTACATGTATCTCTCTGTCCACATATTCGTATATATGTACTGTATTCCACCAGGTGGTGTTGCTTGTTCTGCAGGTTTGTTCCAAGCAGCTGGTGGCCCCCGATTGCTGAGAGGACGGTCAGCGCCTTTTTCTCTGGACTATGTGGGCAGCAGCAACAGCAGCTGTAGTGGGGCAGTTGCCTCACCTGGCGTGCTGCCCACTTCTATCTCCGCCACGCACGGAATTGACAACAACGGCGCTGCTGCTGCTGCTGCAGCTGTGGGGAACATGAACGATATGTTGAATTTGCAGAGAACCTGCACTGCAGGACTGCAGTGGAAGAAGAGAACGGGAGGGCTGAATGTGGCGGGACCAGCAGCTGCGGCCGCGGCAGAGGAAGCTGCAAACCGGATAGGAGGAAGAGGCGGAGGGTCCGACTGTGAAGGTCGGGGAGCAAAACAAGGACACCAGGAGTATGCCTCTCAAGCCTATGAAAGTGGAGTTTCTCTAGCGGCAGCACCGTCCTTGTTCCGCGCTGGATCTGCTCCAGTGCCCCTCTCGGCTGCTGCCTTTTCCCGTCTACCTTATGCTGAATACGTAGGTGCTGCTGCTGCAGATGCTGCCTTTGCGGGGGGATCTAGGGTGTCCGTAGGCGAAGACGAGGGTGTGGCAGCAGCGGACGAGAGCCACACAGAGCGGGCCGCTGCATCGTGTCGTGCGGATGCTGCTGCTGGAGCTGGGGTTGCTCTCGCCTGGTCCCTGCTGCACCAGCAGCAGCAGCAACTTGCTGTGGGGTCTGCTGCCGCAGGACGCACGTTCCTTTTCGGCTCCACAGGCGGACTCCAGCCTCTCGAGTACGCACCACAGCTACTCCCAACAGCCCCGTGCGCTGGTGGTAATAATGGACGCGCAACAACAGTATCAGCAGCAGCACCAAGAGCAGCAGCAGCCGCTGCAGCGTTGGAAGAGAGTGGTGGCACCAGCACCTCAGCAGCGCCGACAGCAGCTGGTTTTGACAGTGACTCTCTAGTTACAAGCAATGTGGAGCAGCAGCTTCATACAGAGAGGAATGATAGCACTGCTGCTGCTGCTGGATTTGTGGGGTTTGCTGCACAAAATAAGCTTCCCATTGGTTTCGCCGCACACGAGTCAGTTCCCCCTCTCAAACGCAGCAGAAGCGACGGCAGCCACAACACCAGCAATAGCACCTACAGCAGCAGCACGGTATGGGGTAGCGACGGCGATCAGCATGCGGACTTACACCATCAGCGAGAGAGTCGAGGCTGCTCATCTTTCTCTTCCCTATTGGAAGCCGCAGAAGACAGCTCTCTGCCTCATCTGCTGCAACGAAAGCGGCTGCGGGAGCCGCCTCAGCAGCAGCATGCAGCGTGCAGCAGCAGCTGCAGCAGCAAATCTGTCGTGGGGAGGGACGCAGGACTGCAGCAGCACGCATCGGAGAGCCAGCAAACGCGTAACGGAGGTGTTGCGCCTCCTGGAACCGCAGCATTTACTGAAGAAGGAGAACCTACACGGCCTAACAACGAAGATGGAGGTACCAGATATTACGTGAATAGCAGCAGAAAGCAAGTGCATCTTTCTAAGACGTGATGTATATCTGTATACGTACGCGTCTAAAGAATGTGTGTCCATGTGCACGTACGGGGTACTCATACATACACGTATCTGCAACGCCTGCGTACGACGGCACGCATGACGATAGTTTAGCTATTCAGAATATGCACGTACGCATGGATGTGCATGTACGTGTATATGTATGTATGCATGTGTGTATAAATGTATGCATACACGCATGTATGCATGTACGTATGTGTGTGTGCATTTGTGCATGCATCTATATATGCAAATTTATGCACGGGGTTTCTTATGCGGGCAAGCACAACTGCGAAGCACCAAGCTTCTTCATGGACTGGTACGCCTAATACTCTGAGTCTTCGTCAGCGTGTATATATATATATATACACCTGTATACACGTCTTTGCGGGGTCTCAGTACCGGTACACGCCTCGCGGATCTTCGTTTGAGGCTGTCCTGCAGACGGGCGCCGGCTCCCATCCCCCAGTGCACCCCACTAACCACACGACATATACTGTGTGTGGCCTACGGGTGTTTGTGACTATACTAACGCTTATTTGTTGCGTGCACTTATGCACGCATACGCAACTATATATGTGTGTGTGTATATATATATGTATGTATGGACGTGCAAGTGCGTGGGTGTATACGTCCGTACGCGTACGTTCGGCTTATGCATGTTTGTATGCATGTATATGTGGGCGTATATATATATGTATATATATATGCATATATTGCCTTAGGCTTGCGTGTACAACGTTCATTCAGCCTGAAGTATTTGTACGTAGAACAACGGCAGCGTTGTCCGGCTGCATCTAAGTATTGGCAGGTGTAGCTGATGTATCTGTGTCCGGCCGGCAGCGGTGGACCCTAGTAAAGAAGCTCAGAGCCGGCTTCTCGAATTTCTTGCCATCACGTGTACAAGTACGTATACACCCCTATCGCACGTATCTGTGTAGTCAACAGTGTGTAGTGCATCCAACCGTCTGCGTTCTACCAGCTAGGCGTACATGGCATTAGCTAGCCTCTGTGTGAGGACGACGGCGGGGGGCTCCGGAGCGAGGAGGGTGTTTTCTTGATTTCTCCGTCGTGGTATATAGGATTTCCTCTAAACGCCTGCTTACACGTATCTTCAGGTTGTGTAGGGTGTGCATCATATGCCTTCTTTCAGATAAGTGCACGTCGGCCTGGCTGGGGTGTCTTCGTGAGGACGGCTGCGAAGGACTTCAGATCCCAAGCTGAGGCGTTGTCTTTTTAATTGTCCCGCCTACTCCACAGGGATACATATACGCTCTTGCCTGTGTATATGTAGTCAGTAGTGTGTTGCACATCAGTGCTCTGCAGCTGAGCGCGCGTGAGTCTAGCTAATGCTTCCGCGTGAGGACGGCGGCGGACTCCAGAGTTATGAGGTCGTCTTTTTAAGTCCTCGCCTCTAACATATAAGGTCACATATAAACACTCGTGCGTGTATGTGTGTTCATTGTGTTGAAGTTCGTACGTCCTGTGCCTTTTAGTGGATACACGTATGTGGTTCTAGCTGATGTTGCCATTATGGCTTTTTCTCTCTATGGATGGGAGCACATGCCGTCTCCGTCCTCTGACGGCTGCACGTGCGTAATTCTAGCTGATGATGTCTTCTTGGGCTCTTCTCTCTATGGAGAAGAATACGTATACATCCCCTTGCTTGTATACAGCAGTATGTAGTATGTGCTTTGTTTTCCGTCTGCTGGCGGCATGTATATGGGTCTCGTCAACGTATATGAACGGGGGCGGCGGCGGGGAAGGAACTGAACACATAATTGAGAGGTCGTCTTCCTGGGTCCTCTACGCTTATATACACGCGTATTTTCCACCGCCCTTGCGCGCATACGTATTCACCTTGCGGGGTATATTGTGCCCTGCTGTGTGAAGATGATGACGGAGGAGTTTAAGACAAAGCTCTGCGGTTGGCCTTTCGAGCCCCCTGCCTCAGTCGATAAGAATGCATATACCCACTCTCGCACGTGTATAGATATACATATATATATATATATATATACATATACCCGCTCGTGCACGTGTATATATATATATATATATATATATATATATATATATATATATATATATATATGGCAGGGAGCGGTATGTGCTCCGTGTGCCCTCTGCCGGCGTCTCTCACGCAGACGCGCGAAATATGTGTTCTTACACCTCCGTACGTGTATATATATATATACATGCATTGTATATAAATGATACATATATATATACATACGTGGACGGGGTTAAAGAGCGCACGCCGGTGTTGTGTGGGTCTCTACCGGCGCATCTAGTATATGCATGCAACGCTACGCAAACAAGAGGCAGTGCGCGCTTACACACCCCAAATATATATATATATATATATATATATATATATGTAAGTATGCACAGATGTTTGCATGTTTGTCGGGCGTGCCAGTACTGCCCGGATCTCGGGACGCGCCTGTCCGCGCGTGTATACAGTGCTACACATACAGTGGGCGGCATGGGTGTCTATCTGTCTATACATTTGTATATCAAAAATATATAGTAGCTTGTAAACGATAGAAGAGGCATGCTGGAACCAGCAGAGAAAGTCTACACGGGTGCGTCCCCCTCCTGTTCTGCGTCCAAGGGTCAACGCAACACGTCTGCGGCTCATATTGCGGCACGGCAGCTTCCCTACGCATACCTGGTGCTACACAGCGGCTGCATATGAGTGAATGACGAATGTGGTAATTTTCTCTTTTGCCTTCT